ACATCGAAACTCACCAACAGCTCCGACCCCACTAACCCAATGTTCTGGATCCTTTGAGAAAATTCATATGTATTCTTGACGGTATTCAGGTGTCTGTCATTTACTTTCTTGAGCTTCAAGCAAATGAATTTCGCTAGTTTGTGCATTGCTCTATGCTTGTTGTTGACTCTTAGTCTTAGAGGACTTCCTTCCTTGTGTATTTTCGGTAGTCCTTAGGCTGTCGGTGGTCTTGCGTCATTTCTGATTAAAGATTTAATTCTTCATCTATCAATTTCTCCATTATTATGCATTTCCTTGAGCATATTCTTCAGTGTTCTGTTGATCTTCGTGGTTGGATCCTTGCTTAGTATTTGATAAGTGTTCCGGTCGCCAAGGATACTTTCCATTTTATCCGTGTAATGTTTCCTGTCCATTAAAACCGTCGCTCCTCCCTTATCTGCCTGAAGAACTATTTGATAATTCTTTTGTAATTTTTTTTCGTATACCAGCCAATTTGCTCCTGTGTATCGGTTCTTGATGTCTCAGGATTCGTGGGATTATTTCCAGTTTTATCTCCCGCCTTGTATATTTTGCATATTTATCCGTTATTTTACAACTTCCACCAGAATATCACTAAGAACGTTACCTTCATTACCTAGTGAAAAATGTAGCCCCTTCTTTAAGAGATCTGGAGTTTCAGAATCCAGAGGGATTAAAGATAGAATACTACCTTTGTCCTATCGTCGTCTGTAGCAGTTGATGCCTTCAATACAGAACCATCAAAATTTGCCCTGGTTGGCTTGGTCTTGCTCTGTCTTATTAGCCCATCGCTAAGCAATTTCTTGTCATGCCTCTTATCAGATCCCGAACCCTTTGTGACTTCTGGTCTGTCATTCTCTGCAGTTTTTTTTGAAAATCATCCAAAGTGAAAACCCCACCTAGATCCTTCCTTACTCTAGACTTGCGATCTATAAATTTAAATAGCTTCGCCTCTCAGTCTCGTAACTTCCCTCTAATTTCTGGATGCAGGCGTGATAAAGTATTTCATTAAATGTGTCCGAATGACACTTCCTCATTGGATTGTAGAATCAGGGAGCGATACCATAATATTAGCAACAATTTAAAAAGGCCAAATGGCAGGATTGACTTACAATTGTCTTCTTTGTTCGACTGTAATCAGTGCAATGTTTGGCTATCTTATTTTTATAGATTAATCCAAATTATGACGCGTGGGAATGTACCGCGTCCACGGTCCGACTTTGGAAATAATTATGCATACAGTGGACTCAGGACAAGGTGCGTTCCTCTAAGTCTTCCTACTAATTTGACCAAGTTGCGAAAACAAGGTCAAACAACTTATATAAAACGGAAGGAGACTGTGACCACAAAAAAGACCAC